AGATTGCAGTGGTAGAGACGTTAAAATAGCAGAGGATGGTTTCAATCCATCGACCTCTGGGTTATGGGCCCAGCACTCTCCTGCTGCACACACTCTGCTGTCAGCAGCAGCGTGCTTTTGCTGTTATTTGGTGAAAAAGATAGATCATCACATAGATCGTCACAAGAAGAGCATTGAGAACAAAAGATTCTCAAAGAAAACGACATGACACACACAGAATGACCATTCATGTGAACATATACTGTACAGTACATTCCCACATTCAGCAAGTCATACACTCTCTTTCTTTCTTATAGTCAAACCCTTATGCAGACACATATTCAACATTGTGACACATATAAATACACACACAGCTTTTTGGCTATTACACACATATTTTAGCTTCAGTCTATGTACACAAAACAGTTCTGACTTGTCAGGAGCATAAACAGTTCGTGCCGGCATGCCTGTGGCCACGGTTTACACATCTGATAAGGGTGCATACAAATTTACTTGTGAATACACTTCAGCAGGACACACACATTCACAATTCACACAAAACCACAAACCCATAAACAGGAGATTAACAGATCAGGTTAAGAATGCTGTCAATGTTGTGTTTATGTCATGCTCCGCCACACAGACACACCACAAATCCCATAAACCCTAGACGGTCTGCTGGTCCCTCATAGCAGCAGGGCAGTGTGTCTGCATGTGTAAAAATTACAATTAAAATTGGCTGATTATTTTGAGGATGCTGAGATATACAAAACATAAGAGAAAGCCGGCGTTAGTTGTGTTTAAACGATACTAATGTGAGTTTTTTCATGTCTTTGTGCGTAGTTCTTGTAGTTGTGCTATGACACCACTTTTATCGGTGAAAGGTTTTTCGATACCATATGGGTCAAATCCATCCGAAACCTAATCTTTGGGTCTCACATAATACTACATGAGCCTTTGCTGCTGTTGCTATAAGAAGCCAGATATCTTGTAAATTATGTTTTACTGATGTTTTGACCGACAGATCCAATTCTTTCTCACTCCCAAGGCGTGAGATAACTCAGCTTGGTCAGTGATCCTCTTTGCCTGACACCGAAGCTTTGGTGTATGCGATGTCCCTTTTTATAGTAATTTGGGGGACTTGTGACAGTCATCTCTTGTTCCTTTCGTGTATTGTTGTAGTTGTTGACTCACATATTTAAGATCTTGAACTCAGTTGGCTTTGTTTCGAACAGAACAGCTGGTCCCTGAATGCCACATAGACTGACTAATTACACAGGATTGCTTTGAGTTTATTGTTCAGTTGTTTTTCTATTTGGAGTTGCAGAAGTTCACTTTCATGAGGCTCACTGCAAATCACTTGTTGTTCGAAATTATACATCAAGCCTCACTGAACTGTCGAGTTGAAGTGTTTTGGCGTTTTCTCTCTCATGGAGGATGGACAATCCTCCTGCTGCCCATTCAAGCTGAAACAACTCCAGAGTCCAGCTCACAGTAAGATGATTATCCTCTGTTTACTGCTGTTGTGGTTGTAGTTGTTGTGGAGGATAGCCATGCTATGAGGCTCTGTGGCTGGACACAGTGTTATGGCACTAGAGACATTGAGGTATTTTCAGGCATTTTTGTAAGAGATTCAATGTTCCAGACATAAGACAGCAACCAAATACTTGTCACTACATCATCACCCGCTAATGCTAGAATAGAATAAAAGGAGGGAGAGGAGCAAACAGGAAAGTATGAAGAAAGAAAGAGTATTTATGTTTGGAAGGACATCACTGGAGCAGTCTGAGGAACTGCACTGAGGGATGAGTGTTACATCTGAATAAAAAGGAAGGGGATTGAAAGAAAAGGAAGAATATGATGTATGTTTTATAGCTTAAAAGATAAATATGACGAATGCAGGGAGGGAACATTAAGAAAATTAACGAAGGATGGCGAGACCAATAAACAGTACAACCAGACTGTTTGGATGTATAAATAGTTGTAAATTAGTTGGTAGATACAGATATACCAATCACAGTGTGCTTTAACATAGAAAAAATATTAATCTCAGAAAGTTGGTATATTTGAGTGAGACAATTATATGAAAATTGGAAGTATAAATAAAATCTGCCACTAAGAGGTAATTTCACCTGGCCTTAGTACAAATGACTTTAGTTTAAGGCTTTTGTACTCTTTTATAGTCAACATTCACATTCACTCATCCAAGCTTAAACAGTGTTTCTCTGTAATTAAACCTTTTTTTTGGATGCTGTCTTGTGGATAATAAAGAAAGCTACCAGGATGCCCAGTCTCGTCGTATTTACCTGACGAATGCATTTCCACTTTACGACTTAATTACTTCATCAACAAAAAACCCTTTCTGCTTATTAAAGTGGGTATGAAAACATGTTTTGTGATACTGAAGAAAATGAATCATGTTTGATGCCTCCATTCAGCCTTTCTAATCCACCATAGCTTTTGTGAAAATATTTTGAAAGAAAGCCCAGTTCATCATGAGGGGAAAGATAGAGGAGGAGACGAGGGAGAAGGAAAGGAGAAGATGAAGTAGGACAAGAAGGAAGAGGGTAGAGGTTACAGCACAAGGTGTTGACCAGACAAGAAAAGAAAGAAGGAGGAGTGAACTAGGAGAGGAGCTCTGTCCTAAAGATGGAGCGTCTAAAGGACATGTCAGATGTGGCTGATATGTAAAGGTTAGTCAAGACTTCTAAAGTGGAAAGTGCAGTAGCATGAACAGAATGTGCCTCCACTTACAAGTGTCTGGTACAGCTTCCCCTCTGCCACCAGTTTCCTATTCCCCTTGAGCGACAGTGGCCTGAAAGTGACACAAGAGAAGTCACATTTTAATTAAATGAAGAGGAATAGGATGAGAAGTCCTCACTGATCGTTGGCGGTACCTTTTTCTTATATCTCTCTACAGAGTAGAACATTGTTGCTGGACAGGAGAGAAGGAAGGGAATGGGGTTAATAGGGAAGGATGGAGCAGGTGAGTTGGAGAGTGAGGAAAAAGCCAGGGAGGTACGAACAACATGGAGGAGAGGCAGTGGCAGAAGTTAGAGAGTTTTATACATTTCACAATGTAAAACGGATTGTGACATTTTGTAAAATCCATAACATACGTAATGTAAATGTATGTTTTCGTTCTGCTGCAGAAAAAAATTCAGATTTATTTTTCTAAATGGACGTAGGCCATTCTAATGAACATCATATTTATATATATATATAATCATTTAGATTTGCTGGTCAATAACTCTAAAGAAAGCTGTCAATTTTAACCAGAACAAAACCTTTTATGAGACGAAAGGTATTCAGACATTGCTGACATTTGCCACAGAGTGAAAATGCCCATTACTGCAACCTTGGAAGAGACAGTCTGGACATCATTGTTAAAATTGAGACAGACATCAGGATTGGGATGACAGCAGTAACTGGTGGGGGGGGGGGGGGGGGGGGGGGGGGG